GAGCCCTGAAAGAAAAACGACATACTTCGCATAAAGCCATGAAGGTTGAGATCTTATAAATTTTGCACAATGGGCATTTCTAAAAGCCTTCTACCGCTCTTCGGTTTCGGATCAGGGTGGGTTTCGTGCTGCCTTCCTCCGACTCCTCCTCGCCGCTGCCAGCCTGGCGCTGACATGAAAGCCTACAGTACGGCTTCTTGAACATATGGGGAAACCGGGGGAAGGGTTGCGGTTTAGGGTTATATATGGGGAGTTCATGTAACTGAGGATCCTGCTAGCCAGGATCAGCTTTTCCGGGCGTGTTTTCTGAAGCTAGGTGGTGAGTATAGTATAATGGGCCCCAAAAACCCCATTCTAATTGTTATGGCCCCTATATTTGAGGTCGTATCCGGCGGTGTGCTTTACGGCTTGGGGTTTAGTCCGACTTAGGGTTCTCTTGGGAGTGTTTAGGGTGAACAAGATTGCGAAATATTTAAGCTTCTTATCATGCGGTATTTTCTTAATTGTCTAGTTTTAGTAGGTTTCTTCGTTATTGGTTTGGCCATGACTATAGACTATAAGTTTAACGTGTCAAATAAAAGCTTATTCATTATTACTACTATTATTATTACTATTCTTTCCCTATTAGCATTGAGAGCTGAAATTACTTTGCTTGGAGCCCCGAGGGTGCCGGGGCCCGGAAGCCATGCTCGGATTCGGGGCGTTCAAGGACTCTAAGAGAATTTTAAGGTAAAGGGTGTATATAGGGGCCTAGGGCTTATATCGCATAGTGTTTAGGGTTTCGGGGTTTCTAGTTTTAATGCCCCAAGATTCAGGATTTTTTGGGGCTTGAGGACGCCTGGATTGGGGCAGATCGCAGGGTTTCGGCTAGTCCTTGACTTCAGATCACCTACCCTTTGGACGCAGCTCTTCAAGATTCGACCGCGAGTCCTGAGTGAGGCCGAGGATGGCTGCGTGCTCCGTGGCCAAGCGCAGATGGCGACGAAAACGCCGCCCTGGGGCCTCAATGTTTAAGGGGGGATTTCGGGGTTGGTGTCTTCCTCTCCTATAGTGTCTTCGAACACCGTACAACCGTTGCAGATTCAGTGCAGCCAACTAGTAGAAAGATCTTTAATGGACGCTAGGGTGAAACCTGGCAGGACGAACTTTTGGGATCGGGGGCTCCGAGACTTCCCAGACAACCCAATCGCTCCACTAAACCCTAAACTCCCAAGGGTTTATCTCGACATCTAAGTCTGCTGATATATCGCTTCCACACTGAAGTGCTCGCCTTAGGAGGTCCTTCCTAGGGTTTTACAAAGGTGCCACAAAGGTTTTCAAAGGAGAAGTTGTACGGAGGGGGCGGGTTCCTGTACAAATCAAAGGGTACCGCACCCAGTAAAATCGGTGGATCCTGATAACAAGGACTACTTAAAGGATCATGGGACTTAGTAACTAGGGTTATACTTAGGGTAACTATACTTATAACCCCAATTAAGGTACTTATAACCCTACTTACTAAGTCCCATGATCCTCCAAGTAAGTTGGGGCAGCTCATTGTCTGAGAAACTCATCTAATCACTCCTTGGAAAATACTGGAGGCCTCAGATTCCACGGGTTAAAGACTCAGGTTTAGGCTGTAAACTGCAAGCCAAACACGGAATTCCAACACGCCGAATAAATTTTCCGTTCATCAAACCTCCTTTGCAAGGAGCTGGAAGAGAGCCTCGCATGAAGAACGCCCTAATGTAGACTCCCAAACGAAAGGATTGCCTCAAGAACCCCTTCCTGACGGTTTGAGATTGCTCTGAGCCTTCTGCCAACATGCTCCGTGCAAGGGTGACGGTGTTGAAAGCGTTCTGCTCCAGTACGAAGCCGTAGTCTGCAGAATGTTTGGTTAAGGCGTTTCGGGCTTAGGAAAGTTTAGGGTTTGGAGCTTGCGGGTTCCTTGTGGAGGAATTAACACCCTGCAGCGCTCGCAAAGCTGCGAACTCCTAGGAGCCCAGATACCTTTGTATGTTAATGCCCTTCTACTACCAGGGTAATTTTCTAGTTAAGGTTCTACGGAATCTCAAGAGGGCAGTGCTTGAAAACGCCCAAGCGGAGCAACAAGCCCAGAAACTTTACACTGCACCTAGGCGAGGTCAGTTCTTGATACTGGGTTCAGGGTGTACACGATTGTAGGACCGCAGCGCTTCAGTTTCTAGGACGACGCATTATAAGTACATCCAGAGGCCGAGCAAAGGGCCTTGAAGGAGCTTGTCGTTGGAGAACTCTCCGTAGGTATTGAAGATTTCCGTGTCGGCGGGTATTTCCTCAAGGGCTCGGGTATTGAAGCATTCCAGCCCGAACGGTTCAGGGTTTAGGATTCAGGGTTTAGGGTTGGGGATCTTGAGAAACAAAACCTTAACCTTGAACTCTAGCAGTCCTCAGCAGACGCTTCAGGAGATAGGTCAGGCACAAAACGGATCTCGGCTCAGGAAACCTCTTGAATGAGCAGGAGGTACATGTATGAAAACAGCTGAAAACATAGGCAGGTCGACACATGCAAGCTCAGTTGCATGCACACAGACACGCGCAAGTAATTATGAGGCAGTCCCCTGATCTATGTGTCGATGCCAGGCAACGGGGTTATAGCCCCTGGTGTTTGCAAGTAGCAAAGCTGGCCAACTACCACAGCAGACATGCATACATGCATGTGTGCATACATACATACATACATACATGCATGCATGCGTACCATGCATGTCGGAGTCCGTGCCTACAAATACACGGTGTATGTGCGCACATACTCATACCTATGTACATACATACATTCATCCATTCGCCCTTACATACGTGCGTGCATACATGCATACCTAATATACATACATACATTTACCGTACGCACATACATACATGCACGCACGCATGATTGAAACCACACATGCACCATCCATCCATCTATCCATCCATCCATCCATCCATCCATCATCCATCTATCCATCCGTCCATCCCTCCCTCCCGCCATCCCTCCATCCCTCCATCCATCCATCCGTGCTTGCATACATCATAATTACTAACCTTGTGTGTATGCATAATGTGTATATGTATATGATAGCCATCTACTACGCAGGTCACTGGGCTTCTATGGGCTTCTCAGGCTACCTACTTCTACCAAGATATCCTCTTCCGACAGGCAACATGGACGACCATGGGGGGGGGGGTGCCCAGAGGGTCGTCAGCTACATTCTGCCTCCATCACCTGTTTCCACGGGCACGCTTATGAAACAGGCACGATGCGAAACTTCGGCTCCTTGGAAAATTCAGCGACCAAGACATATGGTACCCCTATTTGAGAACCTTGTATCTTAAACCCTCGGCGAGCCCTGATCCCTGCAGAATGTCAGGAGAGGCTTCGGTCAGGACGTAGATCATCATTTGACCAGATCGGCCGGTATCAGTCTTTCTGCCAACCTCAGCAGTCTGCAGGCTTGAGGCATATGTATATATGAACTTCGAAGATCTGTTAGTAGTGTTTTCAGGGTTCTGTGAGGATTCTTGAGGGGTTTGAAGGCTCAGAATGCGAGTGCTGAGAAGACGGGGCTTACAAGGTTTCTAAACTGTAAGAAAGGAAATCTGTGCATTCTGACCCCGCCATGTCATAGTGTTAATATATCTATTCGAGGACCCGCACTCAGGGCTACAGAGTTTATAGCTTCGGGTTGCGGATTACAGCTCTTCGGCTTCCAGAAAACCCTGGGCCGCAGAAAGGTTCCGGTGTGCGAGGTTTCGAGACTGTTTTCATGGGGACCTGCATGATCGAACCGGGTTTATTGGTATATGGTCGTCAAACTTTATGGACTCTGAGAGGCACTATACAGACACACCATGCCTAATATAGCGGCCTTAATAATTAGAATAGGGTTTTGGAGTCCTTCATACTAAGACGACTATAGAATAAGGACCCCCCCCCAAAAAAAAAAAATCTTGGTATTTATTTAAGGCCCCTTTAGTCATGATTCCGATGCCTCTATGACGCCCAGAGCCAGGGCACCCTCCGCCCTCTGAGCCCAGGAACCCGGTCCTGCAGACCTTCCTTTAAAGGGATCTATAAGGGTTCTAGAAGGGGGTTTAGGGTTACTTAAAGGGTCATGGGACTTAAACCTTAACTGCCGTTTGACGTGCTTAAACACCCAAAAAAAGTCTCAAAAAAGCCATACGCCCCTTAACCAGTACCCATAAGCATTCAACGGAATCCCTTAAAAGGAGCTCTAGACCCAACCCCCCCCTGCAGATCCCTTCCAGGAGCCCGCGCATTATAGGGAGCCTTAACATCAAGACCCCCGAACCCCGTTGGAGGCAACTATCTCCTCGCAGAGCGACGTGGCGCTTCGGCTTGGCACCTGCGGTGTTCTGTCCGGGCTCTACAAAGATTTAGATCTAATTATGAAGGGCTCTAAAAGGCTTTAAGTTGGTTTTTATGAATGGCTCTACACTCAGCTTTAGATCGTATTATGAATGGCTTCTATAGGGTGTTGTGGATGCTCTGCGGTTCTGTCGGGGTCTTGCAAAGCTTAACAAAGGCTTCGAAGGTTCTACGTTGGCAGTATCCTCCATGATGACAAGACCAGAACCAAGGTTCAGGGTTTGGGGTTTAAAGCTTTGATTCGGGGTTGAGGATGTCGCTTTTGCAAGACCTGCACCCGAATCCCTGAGTTCACGTCAATGCTGAGCAAAACTCAACGAAAAGCTGCTTTGTAGCCAGTACAAACACTGAGTCTTGATGAACCTCCAAAACATCCTGCAGACTCGTTAGTGGCGGCTAGTAGGGAGTCTCTGGGCTTCCCGCAAAAACCGCGAAATCTTCGCCAAGCCTTTGCAAAAATCATTCTGAACGCCAACAAAAACCCCAAACCTAAGCCCTAAACATCCTCAAACTTGAAAACCCTAACCTCATGCAAGCTCTAAACCCCTAAATCCTCAACAATCCTAAACCCTAAGCTCCTAAACCTCTAAATCCTGGTCCGCAGCGGCTGCCTTCAGGGACCATCCTGCTTTCTGCCAGGGCGATCTGCCTCACATGCGCTTCTGCCGGTTAAGAGCTTTGGGTTTGGGGTCTTACGGTTTAGGGGTTGAGGGTTTAGGGTCTTAGGGTCGTAGGGTTTAGGGGTTTAGGGGTTACAGGTTTAGGTGGTCTTAAGGTTTTAGGGTCGCAAGTTTCGTGTCAGGGTGCAGAGCTCCAGGGTTTGGAAGTTTCTAAGGCACATAGCAAAGGCTTGAAATGAGTCAGACAGGGATGGTTTTACAGGATGAACAGGATTCCTGTTATTAAAGGGCTTCTATAAGGATTTTTCATCTGAGAAAGGGCAAAACCAGCTGTTGAATCTTTTTTAACGTGCACCACAAAGCGCTGGTGGACACGCCATCTAGAACTTTGCCACTAGCCTCAGGACCACATGGGAGTTTCCGAAAAAAGGGGACCCGAATATAGTACCCTAGATAGTAGGATCCTTATTATAAAGACTCCAAAATGAAGTACCCCTAATTTTCGGAAACTCCCGCATGGACGTGTTCAAGCCAGCAGCTTATGTTAGGCTCCTAGTTGCAACCACCCCTCCGCTCATTCAGGAAATTCTAAGACCCGGGTGCATCAATGAAGCACATCACGATAAACCATGCCGACCGAGTGTTCTGTTCAAAGATGGGGGTTTCCGAAAATAGGGGACCCTAATATAGTACCCAAAATAGTAGGATCCTTATTATAAGGCCCCCAAAAGAAAGTACCCCTAATTTTCGGAAACTCCCAGATGGGCCTTCAGAGACTTTGGGGCTCAGGACCCTCTATCGAAGGCCCTACATCCGCCCCCCCCCCCTCCGCAACCTTTCTCCCCTTTCCCATATCTGCACCGGCTAAAAGCGGTCTCCGGATGAATAGCATCTGAGAGTCAAGAGTCAAGAGGTTTAGACTTCAGGTAGAGGGCTGGAGATTGAAGTTGCGGCCGGAGACTGATGTCCTGGCCCTTCCTCTCTTGGGGCCCTCCCGGGTCTCACGATATTGAACGGTGAAGCTCTGACACAAAGCTCTGCAAAAGTCCAACCGGAACCCCTGAACCTTAAACCGTCCGCAAGAGATCCCCACAGAGATGTTTTTTCACCAAAGAATTACATTATGCCACCGCCTACGAGCATCAGGGCACTGGATTTAGGATCAGGGTCTATTCCAAGTTGAAAGATCTGTTTTGCGAGTTGTCACACAAGGAGTCACGATCCCAACTGCTCGCTTGAAGGCACTTGACGACCACCAGATGCCGCTACTGCACACAGGGATCATGCAAAGGCAAAGCCATCATAACCCGAGATCAAAGTCCAACCAACAAAAACAACATTGCAGCAGTAAAACAATAAAAAACAACAACAAAACTGATTAGTAAGCACATCCCCAATGACTCTCGCCCACGACAAGCAGTGGCGAATCTAGAGAGCAGCTTGAAACTAGATGCATGGGCGGCACGGGCCCCAACCAGGGCGCGAAAGGCACTGCCGCGCCTCCGCTCGGGGATGGTTCGGGGTTTAGGGCTCAAGGCGTCCAGGACATACGGTTTGGGACTTGCCTTAAACTATCTTAAACTACCACAACCTGCTTCTTGTAGGGTTCTGCCTGCACGCCCCAGTGCAGACTTCACAGGGACCCCGCACAAAAGTAGGTTCTGGTAGCTCATGATGGCATGCATGGACTGTGAATCGGCTGAGCCCTCAAACCTGAATGTCCACCTGTCCAGTTCACAACCTGCACTTTGACAAGGAACCGGCTTGCAGCCAGAAACCTTGTAATCTTCCTATACGATGAATACATATATATATATATAATATGTGTGTGTATATGTATAACAGCAACCGGGGTTCTAGGGTTCCTTCAAATGCCGGGTGGCCCCCTGTTAGCTGCAGCGGTGGCGCAGCTGCGCCTGCCAGGGTGCGAGGAGGGCTATACCCCGAGCCGTGCTGGACTGTGTGGTTTCTCCTGGTTCCTTGGCAGTTTATTATATGTCTAAGTCGGGGCTCTATAGAACTTCTGACAGTGACAAGGGCCTGGGGCAGACAAGTGGGATGGCAGGGAAGCATAAAACCCATAGCATAGCTGCATTGATATGACCGCCGTTCTGGTTTCTTTGCAAGTACAGTGCACCCTTGCGACTCAATACAACGGAATCCCAACCAAACAGATCTGTGACACTATGTTCCTTCTTCGGGCTCCCTTAGCATGTTCATACTACAACAACTTATGAGTCCCCCAGTGCCCCCCATAGTCGGTGATATACACGGGCTATAACGTTTGACTACCGTCGCCCAGGGCAGATTATTCTAGCTTCTCCCTGAAATCCCTGAGTCATACGTGTACCGTGTACCAATTGCTTTTTACTTTTAACCAGGAATCTGGAAACGCGCAAAACTTGGTAACAGGGTTACTGAGGGTACACTCTGCAAACCAGCTACCAGTACACGATGGCTTAGGCCTTGGCATCTACAGGTCGGGAGTTGGGGTTAGGGATTTACATGAAGTGCTGAGGATGGGGCGGGCTGAACGACTAATCTGGCCTCGAACCCCGCTACATCGAGTGTTCAGGCTATGGATTTTGCGCTTATTAGTTATGGCGTCTTGAGGGTAATTGCCGAAGGAGGAAGCTAAACCCCGAAGCCTCACGGGGGGTGAACCCCAAATCCTAAACCCCAAACTGTAAACCCCACACTGACCCCACAAGAGCAAGGGCGAGCCTTCACCCTCCTGGATTTCACGCACCACCTCTCCCGCCGGAACTTTCCTAAGATAAAGAGGGACTCGTTAATAAAGGGCATTGTATGGATGCTTACCCATAGGCCCCAAAGTAGTTCCTCTTTGGGATTACCATACAGGATTCTATATATGAACCCCAAAAAGGAACTACTTTGGAGCCTTAGGGTATGGCTTTCACACATCTCAAAATTCCAGAGGATTTCGGAGCGTCTTCCTGGCTGGGGAATTCAAGAGTTTCGTGCTTGCTGGTGTTAAGGTGCCCTTAGGGGATCGGAAAGCTCAGGACAGGTAAGCAGGGTTACATGTAAGCATTCCAAACAGGACTTTCATGGGAGTCAGATTATGGTCCCTACATAGAACCCTTTCTGTCACTCCTTTGCAAGGGTGTACAATGGCACAGTAGCTCATACAACAAGCTTTACAAGTGACTCTCACCGAGACCATACTCAGCCTTCATGAGCTGTTCACGGGGCAAATATGGGAGTTTCCGAAAATAGGGGACCCAAATATAGTATCCTAAATAGCAGCATCCTTAGAATAAGGTCCCCCTAAATTCGGAAACTCCCATATAACACCAGGCTTTGGACTCCAGGCCAAGGTTTCACGGATTTGGTAATCCCCCGTAAGCAGAGACAGATCCTCTCTTGCTGCAAAACGCCAGATACAGATAACTCAGAAAACAGAAACCCTGAGGGTCCATGTACCCAAATAGTATATACTTTGAGCCCAATGTACCCATATAGGGAATACTTTAAGGCCAATGTATCTACTATTTAGGTACATGGACCCTTAGAGAAAAACTTTAAACCTGACCCGTACAAACGCGGGCGGACGAACAGGATTTGTATCGCGAACTCGGAATGTTCAGACATAGACCCTGCTCATATTATGACTATGACACTTCTATAAGAAGTTGCGCGAAATCGAGCTTCTCAACCCCACGAGAGAACTCTTATAGCATCACTTCCAGGAACCATTTTAAGACAACCGTGTAAGGGTGCTGTGATTGTTATGAGAGAACCACTCTTAGGGCCCCAAAAAGCACATAAGCAAAACTTGGCATAGGGATATTCCGTATGGGTCCCTCAACTCTCCTAAGTGTTCGCTCAAAGCTTCTGGCAGCGGTGGTTGAAGGCATCGGCCAGAGGAACTAAAGCCTTCGCGGAAGGATTCGGGCGGCTTGGGGTTCACAGCCTTCTCTGAACTTCGTGTAGAACCTCTTCTTGCATCCATAGCTTCATCATTCGTGTCAAGAATCAAGCCATGCGTTTGCGCATCATACAGACACCTACCGACACACAGGCATGTTCGCATTTCACAGTGAGTCAAGAGAGACAAACAGTACACCCGCGCAACTTTGCAGCTGACACAGGCGAAGGTGCATGGACCCTCAACCTTCAAAACTAGCTCTCATCGAAGTCTCTCTCTCATGGGCTTAGGCTTCTGTAACTAATGCTCTCTTCCCCTCCTCCAAGTGGTAATCATCCACCGTGAAAGCCTTCGCTGACACAGGGGCTTTGAGAGAAGCGTTTTTGAGGATTCATGTTGCAAGGACGGCTTGGATTAGCGTGTATAAAGATATGTGTTTGCGATTGGTCACGAAGCAGAGCTTCGGGGTTGGGCTTCGGGGTTTTGGGGCTCAAGCTTTAGGATTGCGTGGCAAGCTCCTCTGAACGAGTCCTTCGGGCACCCTCGATTTGAGAAGTGTCGTCCTTGTAATATCTCGATCTGCAACGACCTCCCATAGACGATCCCAGACCTGAGAACTCGCCATGGATTCCATGTCGACTAAGACCCCTCGAGCCTAAAACCCCAAACAGAAAGACGAAGAGCGTAGGCCAAGGCACCCGCGACGTGGCAAGGGTCGCCGCCTGCAGGTAGTTGTCCCTCGAAATGGTGGCCTTCAGTTGGCTTCTGGTTCAAGGCTTGCCGGATTCAGATTTACGGCCCTGGGATTCAGGCTAGGGGACCCTAAACCCTCAACAACCCTAATCCCCATTCAAGCCTGCTCCAAAACCAGACAACTTGTCGGGATTTTTGTAGACAGACAAGTACCTCCAAGCCAATCCTACCTTCTGATTAACTTATAACAATCCCTCAGTGAGGTGCCTCTCTATACGATCCCGGGTCTCGGTCCGCCGACACCCCCCCCCAAGGTATGCCCGGGTCCTAACATGCCGAGTCCATGTTACTGCGCGCTTCTCCCGCATGGCGGCTCCAAAACCATCAACTGGCACGAGGATCTCGTCCCAAACACACCTGCTCCTCGTGAGAGGGGACACTTTCCAACCACGACTCCGACATGAGGTTCTGAAAAGTGCAACTGTCACGAGGGTCGTGTTCCTGTGATGATGATGATGATGGTGATGATGATGATGAACATGGTCATTTCATCCACACCTCCTCAGCACATGTATACCCTGAACTACCGCAGCCTAAGCAGCCCCCAGCCCGAACCACACCACACCACAAGGTCGGAGGGGAGGCACCCCAAACCCGAGGCCACACCACACCGCAGTCGGCCGGAGGACCAACCATGCGGGGGGAGGCGTGGTCGGGGGGCAGGCCGGCCTCACCTGGATCATACATACCATATCTTTTGACCTCATACTTATACAGTGTTAAGGTGCAATGAACAGCCATAACAATCATCATGACCATGATAAACATAAGAAGCAGGAACAGAATAACCATCACCGCCATAATCATAGTAGTCATAGTACTCGCTAGTTGTTGTTGTCAGCAACATCATCGTCATCAGAACCATGATCATCAGGTTAAAGTACAACTGAACCCTGTGTCCTGTTTAGTGTCGAGAATGTATACGGCTGAAGCACGTGATCTTGGAATGGTAGAGTCTTCGACAATTTTATTGTCCGAGATCAAGCACGAATCAGGCTGACATTCGTAAATCCGAACCTTTTACACCAAGCTGAACAGCATCAACCCCAAGCGCCGAAGCCAACAACCTCCCAGCGTCTTCACGCTAAACATCCAATTTTAGAGACATCAACTTGAAAATCCTGAAGCCCTCAACCACAGCAACTGAGGAGCATGCGCCGTTCAATGGAAGGCGGGACAGGAGCGGTTGAATGACCTGCCGCTCAGTAACAGACATAGCAACTCTGCGTAGAGTTTAGGATATGGCGGTTAAAATAGTTAGGATTAGGGAACCTTGGGGATATAGACCCTCTCAATAAGGCCCCTTCCAAGAGAGCCAGATGTAGGGTTAAGAAGGGTACCCTCCCCTTTGAGGGGTCTCTCTCATACTACCGATAGGAGGTAAGGGTGTGTGTGCCAGGGGGCGCCGCAACGGTCGAAGAGCCTACCCCGGTTTTACAGTCGCTTTTCCTGCTTGCGGCCACAGGGTTTAAGAGTTGAGGATTGATGAGGCTTAGGGACTCGGAAAATGTTTGTTGGTCTTGTGTGGCCTTTGGGCTAAAGAGAGGCTTTGTCGCCTAATCTGGGTTCCCGCGCCGCCCCCCCCCCCCCCCCCCCCCCCCCCGTGGCCGGCTTAAATAGGGTCTATTTGGCAGCTGGATGGCTGTGTTTTTGCATTCAAGTAGTGCTTATTCTCATCACCACAGACCACGCCATGACACGGGTGACGTAGGCACAGACTCCATGCGTGCATAATTGATCGTTGAAAATGTCTGCGCTCTCGTGGTGCCTAGCTGCGTATTACACTGCGACATACAAGCGGCGGCCACTTGCGCCCAAAGTTCGTGTGAATGTAATGTAATGTTTAACCAATCAGAATGTCCACGACTCCTTGGAATGTAGACAGACGGCTCAAGAAAGGGTGGAGATTCCCCCAACCCTCAACGAAAACACGGAGAAAGTCTCTCCAAGTCATTCAGCTGATTTCTAGCAGCGAGCTCCTCTACCTCTTGGTAAGTCTCCATCTCCTCTGACGATAAATGAAGGGAGCTCGCTGCTTCGTCATCCGCAAGAAATGAGCTTCTTTTCCCCAAAAGGGTAAGGAAGAGATCCCTTGGCACATCCTCTACCGCAGCATCTCAAAGGAGCAGAGAACCCTTCCAACGTCACGAGAAAAAAAGAACTCCGGCTGCCTCTTAGTCGACAAGAAGAGAGAGGAGCTCCTTGTCGTCCCCTCTTCCTCCTCAAGGGATAGAAGAGAGATAGCTTTCAAGAAGTGAGGACTGAGCTGTCTCAATCTTCAAAAGAAGAGTCTGATCCTCCCCTTAGCCTTCAATAAGACATGAGCAGCCCTCTACCCCATCCTCTGAATTAGCTTCCAAAAAAATCCTTTGCCTCATCCTCGACAAGAAGAGACTGAGAGCTTCCTCCAAACTAATGGGACAAAAGAAAGCGCCATCTCAACAAAGCAAACAGGCCGCTCCAACTTCACGAGAAAGAAGAGGGCTCCGTTTACCCCTCGGCAAGAAGAGACCTCCTTTCTTTCTTGAAAAGGGGAGGACACTCAAGAAGAAAGGGTGGAGCTCCCCCAATTTTCAAGTAGAGACATCTGGTCATCCCTCAGCATTTAAAAGGAAAAGACCTCATGCTCCAAAACAAGAAGAGAGTCCCCAGGATATTCGTGGCAACAAAAGAGAGCATCCTTCTTACCTCTTGGTATGTCGCCTCTTCGTCTTAAGGAGATTGAAGAGACCTCGCTCCTAGCAAGAAAGGACAGAGCTCCCCTAGCTTCCAAAAAGAAAGATTGTCTACCTCATCCTCCACAAGAAATCACTGAGAGCTTCCTCCCATCATCTCCTCTGACGATAAATGAAGGGAGCTCGCTGCTTCGTCATCCGCAAGAAATGAGCTTCTTTTCCCCAAAAGGGTAAGGAAATCCCTTGGCACATCCTCTACCGCGGAGCAGAGAACCCTTCCAACGTCACGAGAAAAAAAGAACTCCGGCTGCCTCTCAGTCGACAAGAAGAGAGAGGAGCTGCTTGTCGTCCCCTCTTCCTCCTCAAGGGATAGAAGAGAGATAGCTTTCAAGAAGTGAGGACTGAGCTTCTCAATCTTCAAAAGAAGAGTCTGATCCTCCCCTTAGCCTTCAATAAGACATGAGCAGCCCTCTACCCCATCCTCTGAATTAGCTTCCAAAAAAATCCTCTGCCTCATCCTCGGCAAGAAGAGACTGAGAGCTTCCTCCAAACTAATGGGACAAAAGAAAGCGCCCTCTCAACAAAGCAAACAGGCCGCTCCAACTTCACGAGAAAGAAGAGGGCTCCGTTTACCCCTCGGCAAGAAGAGACCTCCTTTCTTTCTTGAAAAGGGGAGGACACTCAAGAAGAAAGGGTGGAGCTCCCCCAATTTTCAAGTAGAGACATCTTTTCATCCCTCAGCATTTAAAAGGAAAAGACCTCATGCTCCAAAACAAGAAGAGAGTTCCCAGGATATTCGTGGCAACAAAAGAGAGCATCCTTCTTACCTCTTGGTATGTCGCCTTTTCGTCTTAAGGAGATTGAAGAGACCTCGCTCCTAGCAAGAAAGGACAGAGCTCCCCTAGCTTCCAAAAAGAAAGATTGTCTGCCTCATCCTCCACAAGAAATCACTGAGAGCTTCCTCCCATCATCTCCTCTGACGATAAAATGAAGGGAGCTCGCTGCTTCGTCATCCGCAAGAAATGAGCTTCTTTTCTCCAAAAGGGTAAGGAAGAGATCCCTTGGCACATCCTCTACGGCAGCATCTCAAAGGAGCAGAGAACCCTTCCAACGTCACGAGAAAAAAAGAACTCCGGCTGCCTCTCAGTCGACAAGAAGAGAGAGGAGCCCCTTGTCGTCCCCTCTTCCTCCTCAAGGGATAGAAGAGAGATAGCTTTCAAGAAGTGAGGACTGAGCTTCTCAATCTTCAAAAGAAGAGTCTGATCCTCCCTTAGCCTTCAATAAGACATGAGCAGCCCTCTACTCCAAAAACTCATCCTCGACAAGAAGAGATTGAGAGCAATCTAAGGCGGCAGAAGAAAGCGCCATCTCAACAAAGCAAACAGGCCGCTCCAACTTCACGAGAAAGAAGAGGGCTCCGTTTACCCCTCGGCAAGAAGAGACCTCCTTTCTTTCTTGACAAGGGGAGGACGCTCAAGAAGAAAGGGTGGAGCTCCCCCAATTTTCAAGTAGAGACATCTGGTCATCCCTCAGCATTTAAAAGGAAAAGACCTCAAGCCCCAAAACAAGAAGAGAGTCTCCAGGTGATTTGTGGCAACAGAAGAGAGCATCCTTCTAGCAGAGAGCCTTTTTACCTCTTGGTATGTCGCCTTTTCGTCTTAAGAAGATTGAAGAGACCTCGCTCCTAGCAAGAAAGGACAGAGCTCCCCTAGCTTCCAAAAAGAAAGATTTTCTACCTCATCCTCCACAAGAAATCACTGAGTGCTTCCTCCCATGTAATGAGACGCAAGAGAGCTTCATCTCAGCCCAGCAGACAGGCCTCTCCAAGTTCACGAGAATTCAAAGGTCTCCGTTTACCCATCGGTCGGAAAGAAAATAACTCCTTTCTCTCTTCATAAGGGGTTGAATCTTGCGCATTTCTTTTACCTTTTCAAAAGATGGAGAACAGCATACGCACAAGAAGAAGAAACCTCCTTTCTCTCTTGGCAGTGGAAAGAGATCCTGATTACTTCCCTTACCTTTTCAAAAGATGGAAAAGGGCATACGCTCAAGAAGAAAGGGCGGAGATGCCCCCACCCCTCAACGAAACCACGGAGAGAGTCCCTCCAAGTCATTCAGCTGATTTCGAGCAGCGAGCTCCTCCCTCTCTTGGTAGGTCTCCATCTCCTCTGAAGAGAATTGAAGGGAGCTCGCTTCTAGTCGAAGAAGACAAGGCTCAACGCATCTCCAGTTTCAAAAAGAACTGCGGCTGCCTCTTAGTCGACAAGAAGAGAGAGGAGCTCCTTGTCGTCCCCTCTTCCTCTTCAAGGGATAGAAGAGGGATAGCTTTCAAGAAGTGAGGACAGAGCTCGCTCAATCTTCAGAAGAAGAGTCTGATCCTCCCCTCATCCTTCAACAAGACATGAGCAGCCCTCTACCCCATGCTCTGAATTAGCTTTCAAAAAGACAAATCCTCTGCCTCATCCTCGACAAGAAGAGACTGAGAGCTTCCTCCAAACTAATGGGACAAAAGAAAGCGCCATCTCAACAAAGCAAACAGGCCGCTCCAATTTCATGAGAAAGAAGAGGGCACCGTTTACCTTTCGGCAAGAAGAGACCTCCTTTCTTTCCTGATATGGGGAGGGGATCCTGATTATTTCCGTCGCCGTTTTAAAAATGGAAGAGAGCATACACTCAAGAAGAAAGGGTGGAGCTCCCCCCAACTCAAGAAGAAAGGGTGGAGCTCCCCCCAATTTTCAAACAGAGACATCTGGTCGTCCCTCAGCCTTCAAAGGGAAATGACCTCATGCTCCAAAACAAGAAGAGAGTCTCCAGGATATTCGTGGCAACAGAAGAGAGCATCCTTCTAGCAGAGAGCCTTTTTACCTCTTGGTATGTCGCCTTTTCGTCTTAAGAAGATTGAAGAGACCTCGCTCCTAGCAACAAAGACAGAGCTCCCATAGCTTCCAAAAAGAAAGATTTTCTACCTCATCCTCCACAAGAAATCACTGAGAGCTTCCTCCCATGTAATGAGACGCAAGAGAGCTTCATCTCAGCCCAGCAGACAGGCCCCTCCAACTTCACGAGAATTCAAAGGTCTCCGTTTACCCATCGGTCGGAAAGAAGATAACTCCTTTCTCTCTTCATAAGGGGTTGGATCTTGAGCATTTCTTTTACCTTTTCAAAAGATGGAGAACAGCATACGCACAAGAAGAAGAAACCTCCTTTCTCTCTTGGCAGTGGAAAGAGATCCTGATTACTGCCCTTACCTTCTCAAAAGATGGAAAACAGCATACGCACAAGAAGAAGAAACCTCCTTTCTCTCTTGGCAGTGGAAAGAGATCCTGTTATTTTCTTGACGCTCAAGAAGAAACGGTAGGGATTCCCCCAACCCTCAACGAAAACACGGAGAGAGTCCCTCCAAGTCATTCGGCTGATTTCTAGCAGCGAGCTCCTCCCTCTCTTGGTAGGTCTCCATCTCCTCTGAAGAGAATCGAAGGGAGCTCGCTTCTAGTCGAAGAAGACAGGGCTCAAAGCATCTCCAGTTTCAAAAAGAACTGCGGCTGCCTCTTAGTCGACAAGAAGAGAGAGGAGCTCCTTGTCGTCCCCTCTTCCTCCTCAAGGGATAGAACAGAGATAGCTCTCAAGAAGTGAGGACAGAGCTCTCTCAATCGACAAAAGAAGAGTCCGATCCTCCCCTCAGCCTTCAATAAGACATGAGCAGCCCTCTTCCCCACCCTCTGAATCAAGAAAGAAACCCTTCTAACTTCTCCATGTTGCCACCACTTCCTCTCCAAGGGATAGAAGAGAGATATCTCTCAAGAGGTGAGGACAGAGCGTTCTCATTCCTAGTTATTCTTGGCAAGAGCAGATTTCCCTAGAGGAGATTTCTTATACCTTCCTCAGTCGCCAGCCTTCAAAAGAAAAGACCTCATGCTCCAAAGCAAGAAAACAGTCCCCAAAGGTTGTTCGTGGCAAAAGAACAACGCATCACGAGAAAGAAGGGAGCTCCGACTGCCTCTCTGGCGATAAGAAGAAAACTTCTTTCTCTGTTCGTCAGCAGCGACAGCTCCTGAACATCTCCTCCTCGAGAAAAAAACTTGGAAGGGAGCGTACGATCAGGAAGGAAGGATAGAGCTTTTCCAAATTTCAATCCTTGACAAGAGAATGGCCGGTCCTCCCCGTGGCCTTCAAAACGAGACGAGAAGCCCAAGCCCTCTACCTTACCCTGCTGTGAAGCAGGAAGAGAGCTCACTCCAAGTTATTCTTGGTAAGCGACGAGAGCTTTATTTCAGCAGAGAGAGCCTTTACCTCTTGGTAAGTCGCTTTTATCTTAAGAAGATTGAAGAGACTTCGCTCCTAGCAAGAGAAGCCAGGGCTCCCCTTGCTTCCAAAAAGAAAAGTCTTCTACTTCATCCTCCACAAGAAATGATTGAGAGCTTCCTCCCATGTAATGAGACGGGAGAGAGGTCCATCTCAGCACAGCAGACAGGCCCCTTCAACTTCACGAAAGACAAGAGAGCTCCATCTACCCCTGCGTCGGCAAGATTTTTTTTCCTTGAAGTTCTGCAAAAAACACAGAGAAAATCACAGATCACAAGGGTGTCGCCCCAAGATTTGTACAGACTCAGATCCCAAAAACCCAGATCGCAAGGGGTGTCCCCCTAAGGGTTCGTTGAAACAACAAGTTCCAAAACAATAAATCGCAAGGGGTGTCTCCCTAAAGCTTTTTATAACAAAAGAATTCCAACACCACAAATCGCAAGCGGTGTCCCCCCCAAGGTTTTGTAAGAACTCAGATCCCGAAATCACAGATCGCAAGGGGTGTCTCCCCAAGGTTTTGTGAAAACTCAGAACCGAAAACCACAGATCGCAAGTGGTGTCCCCCTAAAGGTTGTTATAACAAATAAGTTCCAAAATCACAAATCGCAAGGGGTGTCCTCCTAATCCCTGCGAGCCGCGACCGAGCAGAAAGCCTGTAAATACCGCGTTAAAAACAACGGCCAGGGACCCCACACATCTCGCGCAAAATCTGGCGGAAGTGATCCGCCACCGAGCAAAAAGCTTGTAAATACCGCATTCAACAAAGGGCCAGGGATTTCACACATCTGTTGGCAAAATCTGGCGGAAGTGAGCAGTCGGTACTTCCGCCAGATTTTGCCAACAGATGTGCGAAATCCCTGGCCCTTTGTTTAATGCGGTATTTACGGGCTTTTTGCTCGGTGGCGGATCACTTCCGCCAGATTTTGCCCGCAGATGTGTGGGATCCCTAGCCCTTGAAGTGGTGGGTGAGAGGGTGGTGGGAGGGTGTCTGGGAGGTAGCGTGGGCAGGAGGTGGAGGGAAGGTTGTGTAAGAACTCAGATCCCAAAATCATAGATCGCAAGTGGTGTCCCCCTAAGGTCTTGTGAAAACTCAGATCAGAAAACCACAGAGCGCAAGGGGTGTCCCCCTCATCCCTGCGAGCCGCGACCGAGCAGAACGCCTGTAAATACCGCGTTAAAACAACGGCCAGGGATCTCACACATCTGCGGGCAAAATCTGGCGGAAGTGATCCGCCACCGAGCAAAAAGCCTGTAAATACCGCATTAAACAAAGGGCCAGGGATTTCACACATCTGTTGGCAAAATCTGGCGGAGGTACCGACTGCTCACTTCCGCCAGATTTTGCCAACAGATGTGTGAAATCCCTGGCCCTTTGTTGAATGCGGTATTTACAGGCTTTTTGCTCGGTGGCGGATCACTTCCGCCAGATTTTGCCCGCAGATGTGTGGGATCCCTAGCCCTTGAAGTGGTGGGTGAGAGGGTGGTGGGAGGGTTTAATTCCCGGCCCCAATTAAATAATTTAAATAATTTAAATAGTTTAAATAATTTACATAATTTAAACAATTTAAATCCTGAGGGAGGGGGTGGGGCGGGCGGGTCCGGACCCCCCCGCGGGAATTAAATAATTTAAATACGGGCGAGGCCCCCGGATTTAAATTATTTAAATTATTTAATTCCCGGCCCCGCCCCTCCCCCAGACCCCCCTCCCCCAGGATTTAAATTATTTAAATTATTTAAATTATTTAAATTATTTAAATTATTTAATTCCCGGCCCCAATTAAATAATTTAAATACGGGGGAGGCCCCCGGATTTAAATTATTTAAATTATTTAATTCCCGGCCCCAATTAAATAATTTAAATACGGGCGAGGCCTCCGGATTTAAATTATTTAAATTATTTAATTCCCGGCCCCAATTAAATAATTTAAATAATTTAAATAATTTAAATAATTTAAATAATTTAAATCCTGAGGGAGGGGGTCCGGGGCGGGCGGGTCCGGACCCCCCCGCGGGAATTAAATAATTTAAATACGGGCGAGGCCCCCGGATTTAAATTATTTAAATTATTTAATTCCCGGCCCCGCCCCTCCCCCAGACCCCCCTCCCCCAGGATTTAAATTATTTAAATTATTTAAATTATTTAAATTATTTAATTCCCGGCCCCAATTAAATAATTTAAATACGGGGGAGGCCCCCGGATTTAAATTATTTAAATTATTTAATTCCCGGCCCCAATTAAATAATTTAAATACGGGCGAGGCCTCCGGATTTAAATTATTTAAATTATTTAATTCCCGGCCCCAATTAAATAATTTAAATAATTTAAATAATTTAAATAATTTAAATCCTGAGGGAGGGGGTCCGGGGCGGGCGGGTCCGGACCCCCCCGCGGGAATTAAATAATTTAAATACGGGCGAGGCCCCCGGATTTAAATTATTTAAATTATTTAATTCCCGGCCCCGCCCCTCCCCCAGACCCCCCTCCCCCAGGATTTAAATTATTTAAATTATTTAAATTATTTAATTATTTAAATTATTTAATTCCCGGCCCCAATTAAATAATTTAAATACGGGGGAGGCCCCCGGATTTAAATTATTTAAATTATTTAATTCCCGGCCCCAATTAAATAATTTAAATACGGGCGAGGCCTCCGGATTTAAATTATTTAAATTATTTAATTCCCGGCCCCAATTAAATAATTTAAATAATTTAAATAATTTAAATAATTTAAATAATTTAAATCCTGAGGGAGGGGGTCCGGGGCGGGCGGGTCCGGACCCCCCCGCGGGAATTAAATAATTTAAATACGGGCGAGGCCCCCGGATTTAAATTATTTAAATTATTTAATTCCCGGCCCCGCCCCTCCCCCAGACCCCCCTCCCCCAGGATTTAAATTATTTAAATTATTTAAATTATTTAAATTATTTAAATTATTTAATTCCCGGCCCCAATTAAATAATTTAAATACGGGGGAGGCCCCCGGATTTAAATTATTTAAATTATTTAATTCCCGGCCCCAATTAAATAATTTAAATACGGGCGAGGCCTCCGGATTTAAATTATTTAAATTATTTAATTCCCGGCCCCAATTAAATAATTTAAATAATTTAAATAATTTAAATAATTTAAATAATTTAAATCCTGAGGGAGGGGGTCCGGGGCGGGCGGGTCCGGACCCCCCCGCGGGAATTAAATAATTTAAATACGGGCGAGGCCCCCGTATTTAAATTATTTAAATTATTTAATTCCCGGCCCCGCCCCTCCCCCAGACCCCCCTCCCCCAGGATTTAAATTATTTAAATTATTTTAATTCCCGGCCCCGGCAGATTCCCCCGGATTTAAATTATTTAAATTATTTAATTCATGGCCCCGCCCCTCCCCGGACCCCCCTCCCCCAGGATTTAAATTATTTAAATTATTTAAATTATTTAAGTTATTTAATTCCTGGCCCCAATTAAATAATTTAAATACGGGGGAGGCCCCCGGATTTAAATTATTTAATTCCCGGGGTCCAGGCGCGCTGGAACACCACATGGGGTCTATTTGGCAGCTGGCGCGTGGAGTCCTGCCAATACACACACATCCAGCTGCCAAATAGACCCGGTTTAAGCCACACTCCCCCCCCCCCCCCCCCGCACGCCCAACCTTCAAGATACGAAGCCAGATAAGACATCCCAAAACTCCGAAAACAAGGGTTCTGTTATACCAATCTATGCGCCGCCCGATGACAAAGCAACCCTAAAGCATCAATTCACCCACAAAAAACAAGCAACGAACAACGCTCCAGCACAACCCCCCCCCCACTCCACAGCTGCCTCATCATACTCCGCCTGTAGCTCAGCCAACGTCTCTTCCACCTCGTTTGCGTCTTTCTATTTTAGTCTTCGTTTAAGACCTTACCGTTGAGGGCTTTGCCGTCATGGGTTTAGGGTCTATGGATTCAGGATTCAGGTTTCACGGTGACTGAGCTTCAAACAACGATCCACAATGGTTTCATCCAGGAGTTCAGATCAGAAAGGTTCTGGGTAAGATCGAAAAGAGCTTGCAGGGCTACGGACCTTAAGTCGTAAACCCTCCTGACGGGCCCCATCGGAGTCAGAACCCTAAACCCTAAAACTGAAAAAACGGAGGCAAGGTGCTGTCCCTTCAGCGTCGGTCCCGGCGAGCTGCCGACGCTGCTCAGGGCTCCTGGCGAAGAGTCGAGGTCTTACCAGCCTTACCTACAGCCCCCAATATGGTTCCGCATTCAATGCCTTTCAGAACTTACAGCAAGACGGCTTTCTAATCCCCAGCCCTTAAACTCTAAAAACCGGGTTTAAGGGTAAGTTTAGGGTGTTGGGGGCCAAACAGGCCGTCCGGTGCAGCTCTTATTTCTTGGCTGAGAATTCCATCTTCACCAGGATCCACTTATAAGGGTGCAGGGTAAGCTATAGGGACCTTAAACAAATTCACAGGGCTTTGGGAGACTATAGTATGGTTGAAGTACAGCCTTAAGGAATAACACCGGTAATTTTTCCGGCGGTTATATTCGCCAAGAAGAGGAACCACGTTTGAGAGTCTAGGTAGGAAATCTAGGCTGCCCTGAGTGTATGGGATTCTGGGCCTTCTTTCACGGACCATAAACCCCAAAGCCTAAGGCGATCACTGTTGTTTAAACACCTAAACCTGGCGGCACTATGGAAATCGAACTCTGCGACTTAGAATGAGGAAGCCAGTCAAGAGCCCTACAAGCCTGATCCTCGACGATCTACGCCGGAAAACAGTCTAAGATTCCGGATATGGCCATAGCATGATTGCTGGCCCGTTAGAGCATATAGGATTCAGGGTGCAAGGTGATTCATTGCAGCTGAGGTGCCAAAGGTACGGCAAGTCTTCGAAGGGGCGGATGAAGGACGTGAAGTATCCTGCAGCTTTGCGCCCTTCAAGGGCCTAATGGTACGGAGCTTCGGTCAATTCGAAAATTTTGAACAACGATAAAGGACTCGCACCGCACAACCCGAAAACAGTAACAAGCTCCCACGACAGAAACACTCACTTGTGCCAAGCCTGCGCCCGAAGAAAGAAAACGAGAAATCCCGCAGCAACCTACGTGTCCTCAAGCCCCACGCTTATTGTAGATGGCTTGCGATTAGTTAGGGCTTCGGATTTAGGGTTCTGCACCAGTTGGCATTTTCCGAACCGTTGCAGCCGGTGCAAACGTCAACGCGGACGGTACATCCCGGAAGGGAGATGCATGTTTCAGGTTTTGCCGGACGAAGACACACCGGGGGACAGGATTCGCTGTCCTCCAAAAGCCAACTGTCTAGTAGCATCAGCAAGCGCATCTTGCAAAACGTCAAGTGCCTGGAAATGGATTCCGCTCGAGTACATACTCGAAACTGGCAACGTGAATCCAACACAAAACACTCTTCCTCTGTCTGTATCAAACGGAAAAAAAACCAAACCACAAAGAACAGGCCCAGAGTGCACAACCGGCACGACGGTCCGTGCCAAAGCGAGCGCGAGCCCAATGCCACCTGTGGGGCAAGGTCTTTGCCTCAATGAGGAGTAGACTTACCTTAACCCCAAGTAACCTACCTCTTTAAGGACTTCTTGAAAGAAATCATATTAGGGAATGCTAAAGAGGTAGGTTCCTTAGGGTCCAGGTAATTACGTGCATTCCCTCGGACAGATGAGCTCAGGGTAATTAAGCCCCTTTCCTTCTTGGGGTGTTGGACTCCCGAGGGCCCGCGATTCTATGACTTTCTGGGCTTGTAGCATTTGGTACACCGAATTGGCTCTCTGCCCCTGTCAGAAGACCACGACACCACGAACTGCGTAACTGAACCTCTAAATCCTGAGGGGCCTTACGTAGAATAGTGTTTTGGGGTACATGTAGATCGATTTAATGTATGTAGGGAATATAGGGGGATACTGTTACTCTTACTAAGTTGCTATAAGTACTCCGACCCCTAAATGTTCCACCAAAAGCTGCTTCAACCCAGTACCCCAATGTCTTGAAACCCTGACCCAATGCCCCCAAAAGCTCTACCTTTCAGAACCCTATGCTCTGATTCGCTGAACCCTGCAGCTACACTGAACTAACTCCTCAACTGCGAGGCTTGCAAACCCCAAAGACGGGTTTTGAAGTGCCCCAAAGGCGACAAGGCCCCAACGAAAACAGAGATCCTGATATCAAAAAGGCCCCTGAAGAAAAGGTGAGGGTTTTCGAAGAGGGAGCTATGGAAAGCCCGGATCCAAATGAAACCGCAAACCGTGCCAAGCCTGAACTTTGACAAACCTTTCAATCGTAGGGGGCATTAAGTAAACAAGACTCCTACAAACTAGGAATGATCATCAAGGGCTTATCACTCTAAACCCTTACATGGGGCTTTGAGGAACAAGGACTGCCGTAAACCCTAAACCCTAAAAGTCAAATCTACATAAACCCTGAAAGTCCGAACCTAACAACATAACACCCTTAAGCACCAAAAAAACACGTCTAAACTCCTGAAAACCATTACAAATGGGGAAGGGCAGCTAAGGCCCAAACCCCTAAACCCTTAACCCCTAAACCCCAAACCCCAAACCCAAACCCCTATCTTCGCTTCTTGCGCCTCGGTGGCGATGGCCAGGCGCAGGCTGGCATCCTCGGCGCTCGCTGATTTGGGGAATTTGGGGGGGTTCAGGGTCTCGAATTTTAAAGTTTAGGGCTTAGGGGTTTAGGGTTTAGGGGTTTAAGGGTTTAGGGGCTTAAAGTTATTTCTCTTGGTGTGTGCGTCGACCCTCCCGAAAAATTTTAAGGGATCTGGGCCTGGGAGCCTCGCATATGATGATGACTGATGATGATGATGGTGATGATGTTGCGGCCCATGAACCTTGAACAAGCCTCGGAACCTGATGACATTGATGACAGATGATGACGATGAGGACTCCACGGGGCATGCTTAATTTTCCAAGCCTCGATGATGACTGGTTACCCTCAGTCAGGGAGTCTGTGTTCGACTGAATCTGCGACGGAACAAGACTCGCCGCAAGCAACCCAGCTCCGTGGGCTGAGACCTGTGCTGAGCCTGACAACCCAACGAACTATTCTACCTGGGAGCCTGGGAACCTAGGAACCGAACCTTTGCCGAGCCTCGTGATGATTGTCAGGTTGTCATGTCACGGCACATGTCTCAGCCCAGCCAGGGAGGGAGTCTTGCGGCAGATCTTCAGCCGCAGATGCATTCGGCAACAGTCGCAAAGCCGGACTGGTGAGGAGCAGCATCATCATATTATGATGATGTTTCTCCTAACCAGTCCGGCTTCCCGAGTAGCGGTTGAGAGCATGCGGAGCTTGCACACGCTCTCCTGCAGCCCGTGTCTGGGAACAGGCAAACAGGCAAAGAGTGTTAGTCTCCAGCAACCTTTTAGAAACTGTCAGACCAATCCGGCTGGACTACAGACAACTTGCAAGTCAACTCTACAAGCCCGTGGCACGCATATCCTCTGGGCCCCCTGGGCCTGGAAGCCTCGCATATGACTGATGACTGATGATGATGCTGGTGATGATGATGTTGCGGCCCATGAACCTTGAACGGGCCTGGGAACCTGATGACATTGATGACTGATGATGGTGATGATGATGTTGTGGCCCATGAACCTTGAACGGGCCTGGGAACATGATGACATTGATGACAGATGATGACGATGAGGACTCCACGGGGCATGCTTATTAAATTTATTTAAATTTATTATTGTAGCCTCGATGATGACTGTCATGCCACGGCACAGGTCTCAGCCCAGCTATTCTCCCTGGGAGCCTGGGAACCTAGGAACCGAACCTTTCCCGAGCCTCGTGATGATTGTCATGTCACGGCACATGTCTCAGCCCAGCCAGGGAGGGAGTCTTGCGGCAGATCTTCAGCCGCAGATGAATTCGGCAACAGTCGCGAAGCCGGACTGGTTAGGAGAAACTTAATTAATTTCATTTGCGATTGCCGAGCTGAACCTGGAAGCCGATACGACACGGGCTGAAGGAGAACATGCCGAGCTTCGACACGCTCTCCTGCAGCCCGTGTCTGGGAACAGACAAACAGGCAAAGAGTGTTAGAACCCAGCAACCTTGTGAAACCTAAAACTCTCAGACCAATCCGGCTGGACTACAACTTGCAAGTCAACTCTACAAGCCCGTGGCACGCATATCCTCTGGGCCCTCTGGGCCTGGAAACCTCGACTGATGACTGATGATGATGATGGTGATGATGATGATGATGATGTTGCGGCCCATGAACCCTGAACGGGCCTGGGAACCTGATGACATTGATGACTGATGATGGTGATGATGATGTTGCGGCCCATGAACCTTGAACGGGCCTGGGAACCTGATGACATTGATGACAGATGATGACGATGAGGACTCCACGGGGCATGTGTTAAAATTATATCTTTATTTAATTAGCCTCGATGATGACTGTCATGCCACGGCACACGTCTCAGCTGGGTTCAGACTCCCTGACTGAGGGTAACAGACTGAGCCTGGCAACCCAACGAACTATTCTACCTGGGAGCCTGGGAACCTAGGAACCGAACCTTTCCCGAGCCTTGTGATGATTGTCATGTCACGGCACATGTCTCAGCCCAGCCAGGGAGGGAGTCTTGCGGCAGATCTTCAGCCGCAGATGAATTCGGCAACAGTCGCGAAGCCGGACTGGTTAGGAGAAACTTAATAATTTCATTTGCGGTTGCCGAGCTGAACCTGGAAGCCGATACCACACAGGCATGCAGGAGAGCATGTCGATTCGACACGCTCTCCTGCAGCCCGTGTGGGAACAGGCAAACAGGCAAAGAGTGTTAGAACCCAGCAACCTTGTGAAACCTAAAACTCTCAGACCAATCCGGCTGGACTACAACTTGCAAGTCAACTCTACAAGCCCGTGGCACGCATATCCTCTGGGCCCTCTGGGCCTGGAAACCTCGACTGATGACTGAAGATGATGATGGTGATGGTGATGATGATGTTGCGGCCCATGAACCTTGAACGGGCCTGGGAACCTGATGACATTGATGACTGATGATGGTGATGATGATGTTGCGGCCCATGAACCTTGAACGGGCCTGGGAACCTGATGACATTGATGACAGATGATGACGATGAGGACTCCACGGAACTATTATTATATTTTATCAGCCCAGGGAGCTGGGTTGCCAGCGGAGCAATTCAAAGTTCTGCCGAACACAGACTCCCTGACTGAGGGTAACAGACTGAGCTTGGCAACCCAACGAACTATTCTACCTGGGAGCCTGGGAACCTAGGAACCGAACCTTTCCCGAGCCTCGTGATGATTGTCATGTAACGGCACATGTCTCGGCCCAGCCAGGGAGGGAGTCTTGCGGCAGATCTTCAGCCGCAGATGAATTCGGCAACAGTCGCGAAGCCGGACTGGTTAGGAAAACTTATTTTAGCCGAGCTGAACCTGGAAGCCGATACCACACGGGCACGGCATGCAGGAGAACACCTCGAGCTTCGACACGCTCTCCTGCATGCCCGTGAACCTGGGACGGCGCGGAAGCGGCAGAATCTCTGCCGCTTCCACACTGTTTTTCTCCAGAAATTGTGACACCTAAAACTCTCAGACCAATCCGGCTGGACTACAACTTGCAAGTCAACTCTACAAGCCCGTGGCACGCATATCCTCTGGGCCCTCTGGGCCTGGAAGCCTCGCATATGACTCAGATGACTGATGATGATGATGATGGTGATGATGATGTTGCGGCCCATGAACCTGGAACGGGCCTGGGAACCTGATGACATTGATGATCGATGATGACGATGAGGACTCCACGGCGCATGCTTAATTTTCCAAGCCGTTGAGCCTGGACCTGCAATTGATGTTCCGCGTGCACGCCGTGCATTCCCCGCAGCATCAATTCGAACCAGGTGTTTCCAGTGGAAACACCTGGTTCGATTGATGCTGCGTGTGGCGCCTGGGGCCTGAAGTCTGTTGCTGCTCTGTTGCATGCACCGGCAGTGAACATCCACGGAACGGCCACCGGCAAGGTTTCCATGTCCCCAGACTCCCTGAGCGACTCTGCCACGGTCATCTGTCCGCCCTTAAAGGGTGGACAGATGACGGTGGCAGAGGCGAACCCAGGCGAACAACCATGGAGCCTGGCAGCAACCTTAAAATCTTAAATATTGGGAGCCTGGGAGCCTGGGAACCTATGACTAGGAACCAGTCTCAGCAACTCAGGCCACAAAGTCGGAGCGTCGGCTGGCGCCGGTGTGGGCACCAAAGCAGCCTGGCAACACGGGGAGCGACTGGGTTGCCTATCAGCAGTGACAGTGAAATTACATCATCCAGGGTCCTTTTAGGTGGGATGTTGGGCACCCACGAAGCAACCCTTCAATGCATAGAAAAGACCCTTCAATGCAACTTTTTTGAGAATCAGCGCGTTCAAGGGTCACAAGGTTGCATCCAAGGGTCCCTCAAAGACTAAGATGCTGCTGGATGTTGGCTGGGCACCCACGATAAAACCCTTCAATGCATCCAAAAGACCCTTCAATGCACCTCTCTTAAGAATCAGCGTGTTCAAGGGTCAAAAGGTTGCATCCAAGGGTCCCTCAAAGATGCTGCTGGATGTTGGGCACCCACGATAAAATTCCTTCAATGCAACTTTTTTGAGAATCAGCGCGTTCAAGGGTCACAAGGTAGCATCCAAGGGTCCCTCAAAGATGCTGGATGTTGGGCACCCACGATACAACCCTTCAATGCATCGAAAAGACCCTTCAATGCACCTCTCTTAAGAATCAGCGCGTTCAAGGGTCAAAAGGTTGCATCCAAGGGTCCCTCAAAGATGGCTGGATGTTGGGCATCCACGAAGCAACCCTTCAATGCTTCCGGGTTTCGGGTTTAAGGTTTAGGGTTTAGGGGTTTAGGGTTTAGGCTGGTTTAGGGTTTAGGGTAAAAGACCATTTCAATGTACCTTTTTGGAGATTCAGCGCATTCAAGGGTCACAAGGTTGCATCCAAGGGTCCCTCAAAGATGCTGGATGTTGGACACCCTCGAAGCAACCCTTCAATGCATCGAAAAGACCCTTCAATGCACCTTCTCGGAGATTCAGCGCATTCAAGGGTCACAAGGTTGCATCCAAGGGTCCCTCAAAGATGCTGGATGTTAGTAGGCATCCACGAAGCAACCCTTCAAGGCATCCAAAAGACACTTTAATGCACATGTTTTAAGAATCAACGCAGTCAAGGGTCACAAGGTTGCATCCAAGGGTCGCTGACTGTCAAGCCATTATGACCGCCATGTACCAGACCCTGCACTCAATCAAGTCAGGCTGGCCAGACGGATGTCGAGATTTCGGGCGCCAACTGCATCAACACCACTTCCTTGCCATTGTCAGTACAAAGACCCTTTAACTTCAGCAGAAGTTTCAATAGACCAATTGCATCCAAGGGTCTTTTTAAGCGGAATGTTTGGTACCCACGAAGCAACCCTTCAATGCATCAACAAGACCCTTCAATGCACCTTTTTTGAGAATCAGCGCGTTCAAGGGTGACAAGGTTGCATCCAAGGGTCTTTGTAGTAGGGATGGGGGATGTTGGGCGCCAACGATACAACCCTTCAATGCATCCCAAAGACCCTTCAATGCAACTTTATTGAGAATCAGCGCGTTCAAGGGTCACAAGGTTGCATCCAAGGGTCTTTGTAGGCATGCGGGATGTTGGGCACCCACGAAGCAACCCTTCAATGCATCGAACAGACACTTCAATGCACCTCGGAGAATCAGCGCATTCAAGGGTCATCAGGTTGCAATTCAAGGGTCGATGCATCACCCGTCAAGCCATTATGACCGCAGTTGGCCAGCGTGTACGCAGGCGCCCGTCCCACTGCAGGAGGACCTGGCGAGAATAATGGTCTAAGTACGACTCAAATGCATGAGACTCACCGGCTCGCCTCGGCGCGGGTTTGGAGGAGCCTGCTAGCCGAGAATCGTCCGCTGTCCTGGTCAGAGAAAACATCAACAAGTCTTGACAAAGACGCGCTAGCAAATCGAGCTGCATCGGCTACCTCCCGAAATTTGATTCCCGTGCAGCCAGTCGGTATTGTCATCGTCGGCTACTGTACAAGCTAAGGTTTCAATGGCCCACACAGCGACAGTCGTGCCAGGGAGCGGACAAAGTAAACTAAAAATCACCAGCTCACAGCTCCAAGCCTGGGAGCCTGGGAGCCTTGGGAGCCTTTGACTCCGGGCGAGAAGTGCCACGATCGCCTGAGACCTCACTGCCGGCTGCCCTTACCACCTCCGGCTTCTGCTTGGCCTTGGGCACAGGGTTGTGCTTCCTCTCGGGCACCTTAGGCTGGCATACGAAAAGTTAGTCAAAATGATTATTTTTTTAACTTAAATGTTACTGTTGAATATGCCAAGAAACTCCATCAGAATATGAAAACAAACCGGCAGGCACACGGCCACGGGCTTCAATCGCCAACCTGCTCCTCGAAGGGTAGTCCGGGAGAATTGCACGAGGACCGAATACCCTCACTGCTTGGCCGACCCCGAATCGCCTCACTGCTTCATCTTTCCCAAGCCCCAACTCGAACGTCTGATCGAGGACCACGGCCAGGCAGTTCCACTCTCCTGCAGTCATCTTCAGCAGTGGTGCGTCAGAGTCAGAGTCGTATGGAGTGGAGCGACAAGTCGAAGCCTGAGCCTCGTCGAGGTGCTTCTGCTGGATGGCCCTTCCATATTTGAATCCAGCCTTCCAGGCCGCCATTCTCACGTCGAAGGTGAGCTTCTCCCTATCCTCTATAGGACACGGCGGCCCTCTCCCTAGGGTCTGATCGGATGGTGACTTCGACTGGGTACTCCAAGTTGTGCGGAAGACTGATGACCAGGGACCCACCAGAGGAAGTCGAGGTCGTCGGAGGAGAGGATGCCGTGATCGCCCTGGAGGCCAGTTGGAACGCCTGTACCGCGGTTACCGGGGCAGTGAAGCTGTGAGTCACACCTCCGCTATGTCCACTTCCACCGGGTCCTACAAAAAATGCAGTGGCAGGTGTCGGTGCCGGCGGTCCATGTGGTCCTTCAGAAGCTGTGGCGGGTCTGCGAGAGCAACCAGGCGTTGGAGGGGGTGGTCCGCGAGAGACAACAGGCGTTGGAGGTGGTGGTCCCCTCGGAGCGCTGGTGCCACTGCCAGTGCCCGGCGGCCCACCGGTCTCCTCATCAGTGGATCGAAGGAGGTCTTCGTCGGAGGCATCAGAGGACAGGGTCGGGTGCGGCTTGGCACTGGCTGGCTTGGCACTGGCTGGCTTGGCACTGGCTTTGACCGCTGACCGGCGCGGGGTGCGGGAAGCAGAGCGGTCACGAGGCATTGTCTTGGGCTTGGGCCCCATGTTGATCCC